AGAAATTAAGTAACAATGAATTCATTATTACAGGCTACATTTTACTACCATACATGGCTTGTCACTGAAAAGTGACTCAGGAGGTCTGTTTTGGGCTGAAACACTTAGATGATGACATGTGAGTTTGTTCCAAACTGCCAAATATTCTTAACTCCAGGTCACAGATCAGTAAGATTATCCTGTTTAGGGCTGAGGAATGCCAAAAGGAGGTGTAGTCAAGCTAAAGTGGCATTTTTCATGCATCATACCACTGATTCAGTTACTATCATTTGAAAACAGTTTACCTGAAGGCCATTTCACACCTCAGCTGGAATTATTCGTTCACCTTGTCTAATAGTAATAGATAGGTTGCTTCTGTTTGTAAAAGTATATATCAAAATGTAAATATTCTAGTTCAAAAACCTGCAACCAATTCTTCACCATCTGAGATCCGGGCTAATCCCATAATTAATTCTGTTTCATAAAAAGACAGATATGTCAAAAACTTGTGCTATACAGTCCAGTTCCTATATGTCATGCTATTCAAAAGGAAATTGTACACCTGGCCTTATGCATGCACTTGAATCTCCAAAGATAAAAAGCAACACCCAGCATGAACGAAGTCTGATTTCTATCTAATGGATAATTTGATGTCATCTTGGGAACTGGCCAGTGTTAAGGGTAACAAAAATGGGTGTTTATTATACTTTGTGAATAGCATGTGCAAGTGAAAAGAACAAAAGTGGTTTGGTTTTTTTTCAAAAGTATCAGAAAGGGGTTTCCACATACTGGCAAGTGACAGGCATGCTGTTCAAGTGGAAGAGTTAACATCCATAATTTATTTGGCTGTGAAATACTACAAAAATAGCACTGATATGGCAGAAAGTTTGCCAAAAAAACCCCAGATATGCAACATGATTTTAATTCAACAAAACACATTTTACACACCACAAAATGTTGCATTCCCTGATGCACTTTTAAAAAAAATTCTCAATGACAACAAATAAAACTTCTTGGAGAGTTGCACACACAAGTTACGTGGTCTTTCATATATTTGTGATACTGTTGGCTACATTTGAGGGAAACATCCAGAATCTTGGAGTAATTTTTCAGACAACCCATTGGGCATTTTGTCTTTCAGTAGAAATATAAATGTGATTCATAAAATGCTATCCCAAGACAGCAAGATGATTGTTATAACTTTATGTCACGAAAACATCACGAAAGCCTGTTGTGTGTTTGGCAGCCAGAATGCACAAAATAATTTCAGTATAGTCCCCAATAAGGCCCCAGTTATTGGTTAAACACTGACCACATGTTATGGAAAAAGAGATGTGTAACCCCTCCTACAGATAGATCAAAACGGTTAGAATATACATTTGTGATACTGAGCAATTTGCTAGCAGTTGCTCTGTTTTACTCATGAACAGACATCCACTGAATATTGGGGTTAAAGTAAAGACAGTATTATTTTGCCCTAAATACTCTATGGCTCAGTATATACTGAGTATCTTATACAAGTATATACAAGTATCTTGCTTATTCTTTTATTTTGATTGTCTATAGACGTTTTATTTTATATATTTGTGTATATATTTATTGCCTGTCATTAATACACTCCTCCAGATTTTAAGAATTTTAATATTTAAAGTCAACTACTGCAAAACATATATATTATTGCTTACCATGGCTAATATTCCCAAGTAACAATGTCTTAAACAACAGGCCAAAAAAACCTGACTGAAATTTCCTATATTAGAAAGACAGAAAATTTATCTAGTTTCAGCAAATGTCAAATCAGTGGCTATTGCTTTTAAGATTAATAAAAGATATAATGGTTTCTAGATAGTCTCTAAACAAAGATTACTGTGAATGGAGAAGTGATTTACCAATAGTTACCGCAATGAAATTTCTTTAAAGGTTACAATCATCAGTTATTTAGCTGAAACACTGCTGAGAACGGCTGGTCATTTCTTGAATAATGCATAATGTTCATTGTAGACTTGATCTGTATTATAACAATACAGATATTTCTAAAATAATGGAGAAAACTATCTGTTACTTTCCAATTGCTTAATGTATCATTTCCATGAAGTAATTGACTCTGGAAATATTACACAACATCATCTAAGCGTTCTTTTTGCAACTGCAACTTGGAATAATCTATACAAAATGAGCATAAGAAAACAAACTCATCAGCCTTTATAGACTTTTAAGAAAAGCTGTGATGAATACAGGGCAGAGTAAAGGACCTTTCTGAAACAGTAAATTAAAATGATTAAATTGCTGTATGTAGTTGAGGACAAATTTAAAACTAAGCTTTGAAATTTAATTATTATCATGAACAGACCATCACATTTGAAGGGGGAAAAAAAGCAGCTGCCTACACAGTGTAAGTACTTCTTATATAATTTTCCAAACGCCTTTAGGGTCTATTCAAGAAATTGCTTGGGGACGCACAAAGTACAATGTCTTGCATTTTATTGTAGGATTATGAACCACACTTCATACGATGCTGCAGGCTATTTATGTGAGCTTGTTTATCCATATGAACTTCTTCAAGGGCAGTAGAAAAAGACCTTAATAAATGAAAATGAATTTCTTTTGATGTAATTTCATGAATGTTTGATCGGAATGCGTAACAGGTTTATGTTCAAGGAGAACTAGTGAAGTAATAAAATATACATGCAATGTACAGTTGAACCTGCTTATAATGAATTCACACATAATGAAACACCATTTACTAGTACAGTGAAGTAGAGTGAAAGCTCCACATTATTTCAAGGCACTGCAATGTGTAAAATAAAATCCTACTTAGTAACAGTGAACTTCCACTTAAAAAAAAGGATTACTTCTTCTAAAATTGCAGCAGTAGAGCCTCCAATTGGGTGGAGACACTGCATTAAAATATTTCATTCTGCTTTTTTGTAGGCAGAAGCATGGGTGAACCTGAGCCAGAGTGCTTATATTTAAATATGTTCCTGTCTGACAGTGACCAGTGTTCAAATCTGTTTTGGAATAAAAAAAATGTGACACTGAAAAAGGAGAGTGGATACTATGAAAACTTACACAAGATTTTTTAAACCATGACCCAGAGACCTGCAGAAATCAGACATTCTGTAACACAGAAGAGCCAAAGCCCGTTGCCAACTGTGTCCACATATCTATTCAAGGGACACCATCTAATCACATCAGCCTAACTATCAGAGGCTCCTTCACCTGCACATCTACCGATGTGATATATGCCATCATGTGCCAGCAATGCCCCTCTGCCATGTACATTGGTCAAACTGGACAGTCTCTACGTAAAAGAATAAATGGACTCAAATCAGACGTCAAGAATTATAACATTCAAAAACCAGTCGGAGAACACTTCAATCTCTTTGGTCACTCGATTACAGACCTAAAAGTGGCAATTCTTCAACAAAAAAACTTCAAAAACAGACTGCAGCGATAGACTGCTGAATTGGAATTAATTTGCAAATCGGATACAATTAACTTAGGCTTGAATAAAGACTGGGAGTGGATGGGTCATTACACAAAGTAAAACTATTTCCCCATGTTTATTCCCCCCTCCCCCCCCGGTTCCACAAATGTTCTTGTCAACTGCTGGAAATGGCCCACCTTGATTATCACTACGAAAGGTCCCCCCCCCCCCCCCAAGCTCTCCTGCTGGTAATAGCTCACCTTACCTGATCACTCTTGTTACAGTGTGTATGGTAACACCCATTGTTTCATGTTCTCTATTAATATGAATCTCTCCACTGTATTTTCCACTGAATGCATCTGATGAAGTGAGCTGTAGCTCATGATAACTAGTCATATTCTTACACTTTGAATGATGTCATTTCCATTCTTTCAGGAAAAATATTACATGGCAGATGGTATAAATTGACATATATGAATAGGGACAAACATGTATGATCCCTAGATCATTAGTCTGAAAGTACATTGTTTTTTGCCCTCCCTGTCTATCTCCTTCCAGTCTAAAATTATGACATTTTTCACCTAATATTCTTTCTTCTAGCAAGAAGGGCATTTGAAAGCTGCCTACATAGCCAATACTAATACCAATGTACAACCAGCTGTCAAGTGCTGATCTACAAAGTCAGAGATTCCTATCTGTCCCTTAGAGGTGGCCACTTCTGATGCCTCCAACGAGATACAGCCTTATACCATATAGTCCAGTCCAGTGTTTCAAGTGTATAACTAACGACAACAGGTAGAAAACGAAGGGTTAATGATATTGTGCTCAATCTAAAATGTAAAAATTAATGGCCAAAATAAAACAGAATGAAATTCTGTTCTGCCAAAGGCAGACCAGAGATCTGACAACCACATTTTTAAAGGCTTTCAGTATCTCTAACTTCATTAAAAATTGTTACATTAATAACAGAAAGGGAGATCACACTTATCTGCCTGAGAAAAGGTAGGATTTAAAGATGACACTAAAAATGTCAGTCTTAAAAGATTATACTCATCACCTGAAATACTGTACAAGACCGATTTTCATATATGGGTTCTAAAATAAGGCTAACAGCCCCTGGGCTTGGGTGCTCCAATGGGTACACAAGTCAGAAATACCCATTTTATTTATCTAACTGCTCATTTGAACACACAGTTTATATGCTCACATTTGAAACTAGGTCCATTTTGGCTAAATTTCTAACTACGTTAGCTCAGAGGTCAAAATATTTTATGACTATAACAGTAAGAAAATAAATGAAATTCAGGTCTTCATTTTGGTGACTGACAAAATTTGAAGTGCTTGAATTTACTGTTAACCTGAATTCAGTTTTTAATATACCATACAATCAATGACCCCAAGCCAAGAAATGTTACCATGCTCCACCCAAAATCATCTTTTTGTACAGTATGAAAATAAAAAAAACACAATAACTGCAAATCACTTTACAACAAATCATTTAATCTCCATCTCCCAGAAACCTTACTGCTATCATAGTTATACTGACAAGTTTGTTTTAAAATAAAATATAAATAGAATAAGAGGTTTATTTCACCTTCACATGGTGTCTTTCTCATGCAGACCTCAGATTTCCACATTTGTATCCCTTTAAAGGATTTGATATGCAGGGAAAGAAGAAAGGATGATGGTAAAAATTTCAATTTAGATATTACTACAGGCTGCCACAATCCATACTAAACAATATGCTATTTTCATACCTTTTACTGATGTGTTGGGTGGAGGTCCTTCCATTCTCAAGTTCCATGGAGGATCCCCCTGATTAGCAAAGTCCCTCATTTTCAGATAGCTAATTGTAAGTCGGATGATGGATGCCTTGTCAAGCTGACTTGTAATGGCTGCAGGGAGCGGCAACAACTTTGCCAACTCGTAGAATTCAAAATTTTCCTTTCCCCGGCGAGAGCGAGCAGCATCTCGGGACTTTTCCTTTCGCAAGGCTTGTAAACTGAAACAAAACAACAAAGGAGGACATTCATCAGTATTAGTGTTCTGTCACATTTAACCCACTTGCTTTCAATGATGAATTCCTATACAAATTACCAACATTTTCCAAATGCTGACATGTACAGATATGCAATTTTCAGGATAGAATTCAACAATACTGTACTCTTTAAATATTTGAATGCTAATGATGGTGTTTACCTTTCAGTAGTAGCAAGCAAGTTAAGTAATCATTCTTAATTCAGTTCTGTCATCCTTTAAGCCTGACCGCCCTGACCACCAACCAGTCTCACCCATTCACAGGGCAGCTGGATTTGCCAGGGGTTTCCCTGGATGGATTAAAAGGGCTCCTTATCTATCCTGGACCAATCAGAGCCCAGCTTTGTGTCAAGTTCTACCAAAGGTCATATCTCTGGCTCTAAGAAGCCCTCTTATTAAGCCTCATTATGAGAAACTGGGGGAAGAGCAAAAGGCCACTCACATTATCCTCCCACCATCCATGTGCTTTGGGAGATGTCTTAGCCAAGCAGTTGTCCCTTATCCTTGGGATATTTGTATTGCCATTTAATTGCTTACTGTATGTTATTGTTATGTTGACTAGCCACTGCATTTTCTTTTTGTTCAGATGAAGCTAGAATCCTATTTAGGTTTCCACTAGCTCAAGTTTGTTATGTTGCAACTTTGGTGCGGACATGGTCTTTGCAGAAGATAAATTTATTCAGCAGCTCTGGCCGGCACAGTAGGAAAGAAGGGGTATCTATCTCCCATAAATGTGGGATTCAACGTAGAGGCAGAGGAAGAACAACATGAATGGGTGGGTGTCGAGGAATAGAAGGGGGAGAGATCACCCTGACTTCTTCTCTTCAGCCCAATTATGGGCACTGCAGTGGCCGCTCCTGCACCTCCAGGTCCTGCTCTTGCCTCTGCCCCCCATGTGATTATACAGTTGCTACCTCCCGATTGGTGTAGGTGTGCCCTGTCCCCACACACTGCTGGAGAAGTGCCTGCCCAGAACCTGATTATCTCTCAACTCCCAAACCATCAGCCAATGAGGAGGCAGTAACTGGAACTGGGTGGTATAAGGTGGTGTCAGAAGGGAAGTACAGCTGAGCTGGGTCCAAAGCATGGATATGGAGGCAGAAACATAATTAAGTCTCCACAATGTTTACTTTGCGCCCCTCTGCCCCACCAGTTCCACTGCCCCTGGTTCAATATGCAGCTCTGACGAAGAGACCCACTGGCGGAGACTGCCTGGAGCCTCTCAGTAGTGGCTCTAACCATCTCTGTGGAGGTGGAACATGGCTTGTGGTACATGCCTGGGTAAGCCGGATAGTATTTCTGCATAAGTACCCAGACTTTGGTTATGACCTTGGTGTCTGCCATTCAGTACCACGTGTGGCTTATGCTTGGGCTGAGCCGTTACAACTCCCCTTTGCTGGAAAGACTATGTTCATTGCCTTCCTTCATTTGTTTAAATTCTTGTTTGTTTAATAAAGATATGGCTATTTCTTTCTATTTCCAAACTAATTTGAATCTTTGGGCTTGGCTAAACTTACATTTTATAGCGCTCTAACTTCCTGGCTCAGGGGTGAGAAAAATCACGCCCCTGAGCGCAGCAAGTCAGAGTGCTTTAAAGCGCTAGTGTAAAGAGGCTCCCAGCGCTCGGAGCTAATCCCCTCGTGGAGGTGGATTGCCGGGAGCTCCGGGAAAGCTCTTTCCCAGGGCTCGCAAGCGAGCGCACTTCAAAGCACTGCCGCTGGAGCGCACCCATGACGGTGCTTTGAAGTTTCCAGTGTAGCCATGCCCTTTGAGAAGATTACTGGCCCAGTGGATGGGGTTGGGGAGGGAAGCTGCAGAAGTGATATATCTTGATTTAAGTAAGGTTTTTACCACAGTCCCACATGACAGTCTCATAAGTAAACAAGGGAAATGTGGTCTAAATGTAATTACTATAAGGTGGGTTCATAACCACTTAAACACTGTACACAAAGAGTAGTTATGAATGATTTATTGTCAAACTGGAAGGACACATCTATTGGGGAACCGAAAGGATCTGTCTTGGGTCCAGTATTATTTATAACATTTTTATTAATGACCTGGAAAGTGGAATGGAGAATATGCTTATAAAATTTGTGGCACTGGAAGGAGTTACAAGCATTTTGGAGGACAGGGTTAGAATTCAAAATGACCTTGATAAACTAGAGAATTGGTCTGAAATCAAAAAGATGAAGTTCAATAAAGACAAGTGCAAAATACTTCACTTAGGAAAGCAAACTCAACTGCACAAATAAAAAATGGGGAATAACTGGCTAGGTGGTCATTCTGGATTTGGGGGTTACAGCGGATCACAAATTGAATATGAGGTCAGCAATATGATGCAGTTGCAACAAAGGTTAATATTTGGGGGTGTTTTAACAACAGCATCATATGTAAGATACAGGAGGTAATTGTCCCCACTGTGCTTCGTACTTGTGAGGCCTCAGCAGGAGTACTGTGTCCAATTCTGGGCGCCACACTTTAGGAAACATGGACAAATTGGAGAGAGTCCAGAGGAGATCAACAAATATAATAAAAGATTTAGAAAACTTGACCTATGAGGAAAGGTTAAAAAAAACTGTCCATGTTTAGTCTTGAGAAAGGAAGACTGAGTCTTCAAATATGCTAACAGTTGTTATAAAGAGGACAATGACCAATTGTTCTCCATGTCCACTGAAGCATGGACAAGAAGTAATTGGCTCAATCTGCAGCAAAGGAGATTTAGGTTAAGTGTGAGGAACAACTTTCTAAATTGGATAGTTAAGCACTTGAATATGCTTCCAAGGGTGTTTGTGGTATCCCCATAACTGAACATTTTTGAGAACAGGTTACACAAATAGCTGCCAGGAATGGCCTAGATGTACATGGTCTTGCTTCAGCATGGCATATGGGATGTACCACCATTATTTTTCTCTCTCAGCCAAGAAGGAACCAAGCCCAACTAGTTTAACACAGCCTAGGGGCATACTCAAGCCCCAAGCCAAGTATGAGAAGTCCAGTAGAGCTGTAAGCATGCTCAGACTTATTTTCTACAGCTGCACAACCTATTGTCAGTAGTGTTTAGTTTTAGTGAATCACATAGACAGGGCTTATTTTGCGGGCACAACTGAAGAGTCCCACTACCTCTTTTACCCAATGGCTTTTTTGGTGGAACCCCTGAATAACTGGTCATATCCAGTTGCTTTACCCTGCTAAGGCACCACGATGCAGACAGAAAGCTGAGGTTTTACTCTGACGTAGAGGAATCCTCAAGGGACATAAAGGTTCAGCTTACTCATTTTCTCACTTCATAGAGAGGAGGAGGAGAGGTGAGACTGGAGCATGGAATACTCCAGGAGATACACTGAAGTGCTCCACCCTATGGACCTACTCAATTTGGCACAAATTAGAACAATCCTTAAACTCTAAATTATATCAAGAGCCATTACAGGTCCCAGCAGCTCCAGAATTAGAGGAGCAGAAGAGTTCCTTAGAGCACTCTTTCAATCACCTCCTTTCCCTCAGCTACTCTGAGGACTGAACCCATCATATTTAATATTTATATGCTCAAATAAATTGGTTAGTCTCTAAGGTGCCACAAGTATTCCTTTTCTTTTTGCGAATATTTATATAATGTCCTGTACAGGACTGAGCACATTGCTGGCATTTAATAAATATTATTAATCATCCCCCTTTGCATATTTTCTTATGTATAGTAGTGACAACTAAAATGAGCACACATTTGGGGAAAAGATCTAGTATCTTTTAAAGTTAAATCTCTGGCACTGTGACTTCACAGAATGACATCAAAATACAAAAAGAAAAAGGTTTTCAATTGTCACCACTGGATCCACACATACTTTTTTTAAAATTATTATTATTATTACAGAGACCCATACGACAAACTCAGAGTGGTACCCATGGGGTCAACTGTGTTGTACCCTTTCACCCTCTGCCCACTAATCCATTTCCACTGGGACTTTTTCTCACATTCCAGATATCTGACAAGCTTCAACAGTCAACATCTTGTTTTTAAAACAACATGCACGAGAATGTTTTCCTTCTTTCCCTCCAATGGGGCATTTCTTCTGAAATTTTACTTGTTTAAAGTGTAGGGTGGGCAATATTTTGTTCAGTATTTTAACCACACAGGGGTTGAAGTGGGAGCTTTCTATTCAGGAAAAACAGGTTATTCAACAGTAACTGTTGCTCTTGGAGATTCATCTCTCTGGGATATGGTGCCTCTGTCAAGTTGCAGAGTGATATCATTGTCCTACTGTATATAAGGGACAGTATCCCCCAACCACTTCAGGTCCTCCTGCCTAACTGAAGAGTCCTGATATCAGATAGAACTCCAAGGCACAGGGGAGGTAGGCAGGTAGCATGAATGCAGAGGCAACTCTTGAAGAACAGAAGTTATTGGTAAGTAACACCTCTTTCTTCTTCGAGGGCCTTTGTGTATTTTCATTTGTGGGAGATTAGTTCCCTACCAGGATGGAGGGAAAGGAGTTCTTAGCTAAATATGGACTGGCCCTCCTAAACTGGGCATTGGAGCATGATGGTAACATGATGGTAGTGTCTGGTGAAAGTGTGCATAGAACGCTAAGTTGCTGCTTTGCATTCTCCTGGGGGAACCTGCCTAAGGCATACCATTGATGCTACAGTGGCTCTTTTGCAATGAGTCTCTAAACCAGCAGGTACTGGTTTCCTAGCTAAAATGTAGCAATATTCCATACATCTCCTAATTCAGAGATAAAGTCTCTGTTTAGTAATAGATTCTCCCCATATGTTACAAATAACTTACTGGATTTTCTAAATGTCTTTTCTAGGTAACAGAACACCCTCTTTACAGTGAGGTTATGGTGACAAGTTTCTCTTGGGTGGGGATAGGACATGGGGAAAAACCAAGGAAGGGAAACACATTGAGATAAGTGGAAATTTGAGACCACCTGGAAGCTGAGATTGGGCCTCACAGTGACTTTGTCCTTG